AACATTTTCTAATGGTGGTGTGCCTCGTGATTTTTTTCATGAAAAAAGTGTGCCTTTGCACAAAAAAGGTTGAAAAACACTGCTTTAGACTATCATTTGTTTCAAAATATAATCTTAGAGGAAAACTGTTTGATACATTGTAGAAATACTAGTGAATGTTTGGAAGAAATCTTACCAATTTACCATTTAGTGACTGTCCTTCTGCCAATCTTGGAAACCATTCTGTTACAGTACCATTAATATAGCTTCGAAATTTGAAATGTACTTAGTGGCCCCTTCTTTGCTTGTTATTGATCTTACCATCCAGGAATATTGAAGGAATGTTGATAGAGAAGCACGCATGAGTTTTCCCTTGGGTGTTGTGACTCAAAAGATTGGAGTCCTGTTTAGTGGGAGGTCTTGATTGTATTAAGGGTTTTGTTTCCTTGATTTAATGTAAGCCATCCAGTAGCACAAATGCTCAAGTTGACTATTTAAATGCTTTAAATAAAATAAAATATTGGGAAATCAGTAAGGAAAATAGTTACCTAATATTCTTTCCTAGGATTTATACTTTATTCAGCTCATTCTAGCTGTCCTTCAGATATCTAGCCATGCACTCTACCACATTCATAAAACATGAATATGTGGCTATGAAGGTGGTAGCCTCTTAATGCCTTAACTCAAAACATGCATTTCCTAATAAGGCCACAAAAAGTAATGGAGCTCAGACAGCTTCACAGAGCATATCCATATACATTTTCAACTATGGAGCACATCCCTAAAGTGGATTTTGCACTGCAAAAAGAAAGCAACATCTATGTCTGGGAACAAGACCAAGTTCATTTACATCAGAAAAAGATCAGCTATAATTTATTATGACCGTCCCCGGAGAACTAAGAGTATGTATCAATTTCAGTGTGGCACTAAAAATAGCCCTCTTCTATAGTAATATGATGTCATGCCATCATATTGCTGAGGACTTAAAACCATATTGTTTTAATCATTATTTTTTGTCTAAGACACAATAGGTGGATTTACCCACAACATTAAGTTACATAGAGTTGGATCCACATAGTATTAAGCCATATTGTTTGTATTAATTTGTCATGATGGTTGTTGTTTGTTTTACCACCTTGGCTTATATTTTTAAAAGACAAAAATGGAATGATATCTTTAACACCATTGAATACCATCTTCATTCCCAAGATCCTTGGAAAGTACTCACTAGATGCATAAAAAAGCCAAATCCAGTCTAAACAGCTGACTGACTGTGTGACAAATCATAATGAATTCACGAGTTTATATATTTATTCTTATGCCCAATGGAACAAAGATTTGATCACCAAAGCACGATAGTCTAACCTCAGAAGGGTAATTAAAAATAAATAGTAGCCTCTTCCAAAGGTAAAGGTAGTAAAAGGTAATATTGTGGTTGCATCAGATTGATTGAAATTTTTTATACTTCCTAGTTCATCCAATTTGATTTCTACAGTTATGTTATTGTTTAAGTGCAAAAGGCTTTTTGGGAAATTGAAAGCTGAATTCCATTTATGCAGGCCTTTCAGCATGGAATCAACTTACCAGATGTTCTGCATTCCAAAGGCTATGATTTATCTCAGCCCAGTGCAAAAGCAGCAGGTAAAGCAATGAACATGAGAGTAAATGGATCACCAGATGGCACCTGTTTTGACTCTGCAGCACCTTCTGATTTTTTTTTATTAATGAGAAAGAACAATTTATATAATGCATATACAGTAAACCTGCCTTTTACTTGGCAGTGGGACAAGAGATCTCATCTAAGATTCTGTTGTGTATTCAGCAAAGAAAAGGTGCTCAGTTTAACAATTAAAGGCACCTTAAATATAAGGAATTAGCTAGATGAATTAGAAGCACTGGCAGGGGATTGTTTGTGGGGGGAGGTAGAGATGTGGACTTCCTAATAGTATCACTAAGAGCTTAACAACACTTGGTAAAGCAGGCTTTATAATGGAAAGATGTATTTACTAAGGGGACATGAATAAATCTGTACTACATGTAAGCTACTCCTTACGGTTATGAACGCTGAAGACCCAACAACACTGAATATACACATGTAACACTGCAGAACTAAAGGTTTGTTTGTTTGACATAGTTCAAATTAACTGTCTTGACACAATGTCTGAACATACTGTAGTGCCTCATTTTACTTAGCAGTTGTCAGGTATTTTTTCTAGCAGCCAGAAAATGCTGCTGTTCCTTTCTTGCATTATTACTGTCTGTACAATGTTTTAAAATGGCAGCTCAGCTGTAAGATAATAACATTCCTGAAGGGGCAAATCTCATTTATTTACCAAGTGGTGTCAAATCTTATAAAAGCTTTTTATCAAGGAGCATGATAAAGCTTCTACCAGAGCAGATAAAAGAGAAGTGCTCCTATAAACAAGCCATATTTAACAGCCAGCTTGTTGCAATAAAATGTGGCAATCACTGCTGTTTATGATAGCTTATACAACTTTCTCATAATATGGAGAGTGGGACCTTTGAGTAGACCTCTCTGTTCTCCATACGCTCAGCCAGTGTTGAGCTGGAAAAATATGAAGAAAGAAGAGTTAAATGTCAGTTCCACCACTTCCCCCATTTTAGGAAGAAGGCAAAGGATTAATTTTTTATATAATATTTATGCATTAGTCTGTTTCCTTCAGCAAACATTAGGACAAGCTGCATGGGATATTTTTAAAATTTTCAAGTCATGCTGTAAACCTGCAGATAAAAAGTTAAGATTGCGAATCCAAAGGATTTATGAAGTGTCCACCTGAAATCACTATGGTCCAAAATATTCTTTAAAAGAACATGGAAAGATTTTATTTCTGATTTTCCTGACTATGTGCTGTTAAAATTAAATCTCACTTTAAAATATCATTTCTAACCTTCCCTTCCTTCTTTACTGGCAAAAATAACTAATTACGTGTCTTTATTCAATACCCGTACATGAGAGTCTTTTATCTGAATGGAGTTCTAAGAAGCAATGGAAGAATTCCAATTTTTCATTTCTTATGATAGCACATAAGCCTGTGTTTTAAAATACAGACGAGTAGCCCACACAACACGTGGGATTAGAGAAAGCAAGATCCTGTACGCCAGCCAACAATAATGTCCCATATTCTTGTGAAAAATATAAATATAATATAAATTCTCTTGAATCAAATCCATGCCACTGTCTTCTTTTGGGATGTTTTCGAAAGCCAACCCAGTATCTCTTAAAAGCGTTGGAAGTTGTTTTGAAAAATGCGTCATTAAAATCGACATAACACAACAGCTGCAACTACAACCGCCATCAGATCAGCGTCTTCGCGGGGGCACGTTTGCAATTCGAATCGAAATTGTACAGCGACCCGCCAAAGAGCAGCTTTAAATCACAGCCGAACAGAAATCCTCTACCGCTACAGAGGACGCAAGCCCATAGAAGTAGGAAAGGGAAGAGGATGGCTCAATAGTCTACCCTAATCGTATCTCTATATGCTTTTCAGGAAGTTGAACAAAGAGAGCAGGCGATCGCTCCCTGCTTGTGTCTGGAAACGGGCTCAGCTTGTCAAAGGTTGGTCTTTTGAAAGGAAGGACTCGTTCTTTTCTAATAATGCAGCTAAGACTGGTCGGACTCTCACTGCTGGTTTCTAGACGATGTGTGAATTTCTCTTGTTTTAATCCAGTGTTTTTCAATCTAATCGACCTTTAGTTGGGTGACTTCAACACCCAGAATTCCCTAGCCAGGAGCATAATAGGCTTACTGTAATGCATGTTTGGTCATAACATATTCATTTATTTGTACCCTACCCTTATTTTTACAAATTAATAAAAACATTGGATCTCAGCACAGAACGTGGATAGCCCATAGTTCATATCTGAATGATACTAGATATAAAAATATCTGGTCTGCCAACTTTTCCAGTTTTATTCCTGTACCCTGAATGCAACCTGAATATTGCATTTTCCTGTAGGTTCTAGCCAGATCAAGAAAATGTACAGCTCAGAAGATCTGTGATTGTAACTTGTATGTGTGTGCTATACAACCAAACTGTCCTAAAAATTGGAGCTAGACCAGGAAAGGTTGGGGAAATGAAACCTAAACCTCATTCCAGAATTGTAAGGCTAAAATAAATGAAGTAGATTTTCAGAAATTTAAATTCTTTAAATTTATAGAAAAACAGTGTGATAATCAAGGATTAAAAATACTGCTTATTTTTAAGTCATTTTATCATTCTGAGGTGCCTTTAAATTAATAAATAAAACTCAGGCTTTGGGGAAGAAACATTTCTCCTCCTGATCTTTACATTTTCTTTGATTAGGCTAGTATCTATTGGAAAGCAATGCTCAATTCTTGTTGGATTACCATTCAAGAATGAAATGGAAAAGTTGATAACCCAGATATCTTTTTGAGTCTTTAAAACTTTTATATATGTCAATGCTTTTCTTAAGCAGTTTCTGAATTGTCTATTAGCAACAGTCTGTACTTCAATCCAATAGTTTGGATACATAATAAATTATATTATGCCTTAAGTTTGATGACTTTCTGATCCATGGAATAAAACTAAGGATGTGCGGTTCTTCTAGGATGTGGAACCACAAACTATTCAACTCCCAAAAATTTTAATCTCTTTAAATTAGAATAATTCTTCCCAGTGACCGTTATAACAGTGAGTCACCAGGAGGTAGTTACATGGTAGTTACCAGAAATCTTTAATTCAGAAATAATCAGTAGCAGCAATGAATTTGTCTCCATTTTCTAAAGAACAGAGGAAGCTATGCTAGTTCATCATATATTAATTCATGAAATGTCCCTTTCAGCACTGGCAGTATATATTTTTCATAACAATAGCAAAAAAAGCGGTTCCTTTTTCTTAGGGATTAATAGCAAAGAATTAAGGCCAATCACCCCCAATTTTTCTGGCCAAGATTTTTTTTAAAAATATACGGGAATGGAAAACCCTCAATCACATGTCCTAACCACTGATAGTAATGTTATAATGATACCAAATAACAATTCACTGTTCTTTCAGAATCTGCTACCTGTGGGCAATCATTGAATTTTATTTCATTTCTAAAAAAAATTATTAAGTTATATTATAAGATAAAAATATAGGGAAAAAAGAAAGAGAAAAGTGCAAAGAGAGAAAAGCAGCTACCGTGTTTCCCTGAAAATAAGACAGGGTCTTATTTTCTTTTGATCCCCAAAATATGGCCTGGGCCTTATGATTGGGGGAGGGGCTTATTATTTTGGGGTTGCAGGCAACTGCTCTCTTGTGAACGGATTCCCGAAGAGCCAGGCACAGCCTCAGGAGTGAATGGCTGTGTTGCACTGTTTTAGCAGCACAACAAACAACCATGAGGTGACCAGGCTCAAAAGCAACCAACCGGCAACCCCCCTCTACAGCTGGGCAGAGCACCACTCACTGACCTAGCGGTATTCCAAGGTGCCAAGCCAATCGAGCGCCTGTTTCACCAGCTCCCATAACTTGGTGCTTTTGGGATACCGCTAGATCAGTGAATGGTGCTCTGCCTGGCTGGAGGAAGGGGGGTTTGTCCAAGGGGCTTATTTTTAGGGGAGGGCTTATATTTTTGCCTACCCCAAAAATCTGGCATGGCTTTATTTTCAGGACAAGTCATATTTTCGGGAAAATATGATATTTACTCTACTTCATCGTGGGACCATCCCTTGAACAGAAAAAATAATCAAGTTCTCAGTTCAAAGGTATGGGGAATAAATTAAGAATTGTGGATTGGCCTGGCGAAAGAACATGCTGCCTTGCTTCTAAAATAAATTTGGGAGTCACAATAAGATGGGTTGTTGATAAAATAAGAAAAAATGTAGCTAAGATATAATAGTCATGATTTATTAGACTGTGTGGCCCTTCTTTTTATCCTTCATTAGCCCAAACTTGCTACAGATAGCTTCCTGAGATATCAGAAATGAAAAACCATGGTTTAAGTGCTGGTAACAGATTAAAATATAGTTTATGAGACCAGCTAGAACCAATAACGTGTGTGTGTGTATGTGTGTGTGTGTGTGTGTGTGTGTGTGTGTGTGTGTGTGTGTGTAGGGCAGTTGACTAAGAAGAAGGTCACGTATCACAGCAAAATTACAATCTATTCAGATCTGCTAAAGGAAAGTAAAAGTAAATCTTTCCACGTAGAGGAAGTTCTGAGCTGCAGGAGTAGGACTGAACAGAATGACTAAAATAATTGTAGAGAAGCTTAGAAGAACGTGCTTCTGATTTATTATTCAGGAAAAGAGGAGCTGGCATGTAAAATAGAAGATCTGTTTTATAGATTAATAATTTTATGGTTACATTCATGGAACATTTTAATTTTTTTCTTTCCATCATAGTAAAACATTGTGTATTATATCACCATTTTCTTGCTATGAAATATGAATGGATCAACTGATCATTGTACAATAAATGATTCTTTTAATTGCTCCAATGAAGAATTTTCTATTCTTTTTTTTAACATTTTATATTTGATTGTATTATATCTAACTATCATGACCTTGAAGTACCACATAATAGAAATAAATATAGTATGGTGTCTTTCATTAATGCTCCAAACTTTGCTGAGTCCCAAATGACAGTACAATAGCAGAGTTGGAAGGGACCTTGGAGGTCTTCTAGTCCAACCCCCTGCCTAGGTAGGAAAGCCTATACCGTTTCAGACAAATGGCTATCCAACATCTTCTTAAAG